TGCGGCGTGGCGTGGCTGCTCAGCCGTGTCTCGATCCAACTCCCCCGCTGTCTCTCTCTGTGTGTGTGTGTGTGTGTATGCTGTGCGCCTGCCCGTGTCTCTCCCTCCCATGCTGCGTGCTCTCGTTGTGCCTGCCCGGTGCCGGCCCGACAGGAGAGTTTACACCGCGAGCAACAAGCGAATTCCACAAAGGCCCAAGTGACAATGATGCTGCGCCGCGTCCTCTGCGTGCTTTTCTTTGCCCTCTGCTGTGCGTGCGTGTGCGCCACGGCTCAGGAGGAGGGGCAGTATGATGCTGCTGATGTTGAGGCTGGGGACGGCCCGGATAAAACTACAACGACCACTACAACAACTACTACTACTACTACGACGACGACAACGACGACTACCACCAATGCACCCGCCAAGAGCACAACCACCACCAATGCACCCGCCAAGAGCACAACCACCACCAATGCACCCGCCAAGAACACAACCACCTCCAAGGCACCGACTCCTGGCGACGGGAGCAGCCTCGGCGGCCCTTTGTGGGTTCAGGTGCCGCTGCTGCTGCTGGTCAGTGCCGCTGTGGCGACCGCCGGTGCTGCGTGCTGAGGACGGGGCGGGGCGCGTGCGCCGTCGGTCTGGAGTCCCGTTGTGTGCGGCCACTGCCCACACGCGCGGGAGCACCGACTGGCGCGTGCGCCGCCCTCGGCGTGACCCACCGAGAGGTGCGCCGCGTATATTTGAGCACCCCGCAGCGGTGTGGATGTATATATGCCAGTGTCTTTGGTTGTGCGTGCTTGGCGTATCTTCCGCCGTTTGTTTTGCGCCTGGTTCTTCCGGGTGTGACCATCTTTTGTTTTGGCTGCCGTTGCGTGCTGGCCCCGTGCCGCCTGCCCGTGCATTCTCTGCGACGGCCGCGCGCTGATGTACATCTCCTACCGCCGCCCCGCCACTTGTGGGGGGAAGCGTCGGTGCGATTTTATTTTTTGTTTTTACTTTTTTTGGTTTGTGTTCGTTCGTGCGTTTTTGGCGCTGACTGTGTGTGTGCGTGTGTGCTGGTGTCCCTGCGGCGTGGCGTGGCTGCTCAGCCGTGTCTCGATCCAACTCCCCCGCTGTCTCTCTCTCTGTGTGTGTGTGTGTGTATGCTGTGCGCCTGCCCGTGTCTCTCCCTCCCATGCTGCGTGCTCTCGTTGTGCCTGCCCGGTGCCGGCCCGACAGGAGAGTTTACACCGCGAGCAACAAGCGAATTCCACAAAGGCCCAAGTGACAATGATGCTGCGCCGCGTCCTCTGCGTGCTTCTCTTTGCCCTCTGCTGTGCGTGCGTGTGCGCCACGGCTCAGGAGGAGGGGCAGTATGATGCTGCTGATGTTGAGGCTGGGGACGGCCCGGATGAAACTACAACCACCACTACAACTACTACTACTACGACGACGACGACTACCACCAATGCACCCGCCAAGAACACAACCACCTCCAAGGCACCGACTCCTGGCGACGGGAGCAGCCTCGGCGGCCCTTTGTGGGTTCAGGTGCCGCTGCTGCTGCTGGTCAGTGCCGCTGTGGCGACCGCCGGTGCTGCGTGCTGAGGACGGGGCGGGGCGCGTGCGCCGTCGGTCTGGAGTCCCGTTGTGTGCGGCCACTGCCCACACGCGCGGGAGCACCGACTGGCGCGTGCGCCGCCCTCGGCGTGACCCACCGAGAGGTGCGCCGCGTATATTTGAGCACCCTGCAGCGGTGTGGATGTATATATGCCAGTGTCTTTGGTTGTGCGTGCTTGGCGTATCTTCCGCCGTTTGTTTTGCGCCTGGTTCTTCCGGGTGTGACCATCTTTTGTTTTGGCTGCCGTTGCGTGCTGGCCCCGTGCCGCCTGCCCGTGCATTCTCTGCGACGGCCGTGCGCTGATGTACATCTCCTACCGCCGCCCCGCCACTTGTGGGGGGAAGCGTCGGTGCGATTTTATTTTTTGTTTTTACTTTTTTGGTTTGTGTACGTTCGTACGTTTTTGGCGCTGACTGTGTGTGTGCGTGTGTGCTGGTGTCCCTGCGGCGTGGCGTGGCTGCTCAGCCGTGTCTCGATCCAACTCCCCCGCTGTCTCTCTCTCTCTGTGTGTGTGTGTGTGTATGCTGTGCGCCTGCCCGTGTCTCTCCCTCCCATGCTGCGTGCTCTCGTTGTGCCTGCCCGGTGCCGGCCCGACAGGAGAGTTTACACCGCGAGCAACAAGCGAATTCCACAAAGGCCCAAGTGACAATGATGCTGCGCCGCGTCCTCTGCGTGCTTTTCTTTGCCCTCTGCTGTGCGTGCGTGTGCGCCACGGCTCAGGAGGAGGGGCAGTATGATGCTGCTGATGTTGAGGCTGGGGACGGCCCGGATAAAACTACAACCACCACTACAACAACAACTACTACTACTACGACGACAACGACGACTACCACCAATGCACCCGCCAAGAGCACAACCACCACCAATGCACCCGCCAAGAGCACAACCACCACCAATGCACCCGCCAAGAACACAACCACCTCCAAGGCACCGACTCCTGGCGACGGGAGCAGCCTCGGCGGCCCTTTGTGGGTTCAGGTGCCGCTGCTGCTGCTGGTCAGTGCCGCTGTGGCGACCGCCGGTGCTGCGTGCTGAGGACGGGGCGGGGCGCGTGCGCCGTCGGTCTGGAGTCCCGTTGTGTGCGGTCACTGCCCACACGCGCGGGAGCACCGACTGGCGCGTGCGCCGCCCTCGGCGTGACCCACCGAGAGGTGCGCCGCGTATATTTGAGCACCCTGCAGCGGTGTGGATGTATATATGCCAGTGTCTTTGGTTGTGCGTGCTTGGCGTATCTTCCGCCGTTTGTTTTGCGCCTGGTTCTTCCGGGTGTGACCATCTTTTGTTTTGGCTGCCGTTGCGTGCTGGCCCCGTGCCGCCTGCCCGTGCATTCTCTGCGACGGCCGCGCGCTGATGTATATCTCCTACCGCCGCCCCGCCACTTGTGGGGGGAAGCGTCGGTGCGATTTTATTTTTTGTTTTTACTTTTTTTGGTTTGTGTACGTTCGTACGTTTTTGGCGCTGACTGTGTGTGTGCGTGTGTGCTGGTGTCCCTGCGGCGTGGCGTGGTTCCTCTGTGGCGTCTCGGTCCCGTTGCCCCTCTGTCTGTCTGTCTGTTTTTTTATTGTTATTGCTTTGTTTATATATTTGTTTTTTCTCGGTTCGTTTGTGATTTTGTTGTCTTTTGACTGCTGCAGGTTTAGCTGTGGCTGTGGTGTGGCTGATGGATTTATTCTCTCGTGAGTGTTTTTCTTTGAAGGGTCCGGGTGATGAATGTCTTGGTAGTTTTTTTTTTGCTTCCGATGCTGATGGTGTTGGCCCGTTTTTAATGGGGAATTCTTCGTTTGGTCGAGGCTCTTTAAGCGCTGTTTCGTGCATGCCTTTGATACCACAGGGTGTTTCTACGTTGTCTGTACTTTTCTGGTGGTGGAAGTGGCCTATGCCGTGTGCGGATGGTGGTTGTTTTGGGCAGCCGCAGCAGCCGGAGCTGGATTCATTGGTGGAGAGGGAATCGGTTTTGGATTTGACGGTGTCGAGGGCTATGCGTGAGTTGGTGCGCGTTTATACCGTGTACGACCCGCCGAGGGCGGCGCTCATGTTGGGAGACTCCGTTGATGCATACAATTGCCTATTTCTGGGGCGTTGTGAGAGGGGCGATCGTGTGTTGGTGTTGCCCGTGGAGGAGGACTGGAATGAGGCTGTACGCCGCGGCATTCCGCCTGTGGTTATTCTGCGCTTCACACTTTGGGCGTACATCACCAGATTGGGCCAGCGCTGTGGTGATGTTGCGATGGACGCGGACTCGGCCGCATTTCTTTTTTCTGCACGACTGGCGACATGTGATGCCCTCAGCAGGGATCGGGAGGAGGTGGTGGTGCCGTTGACGGCAGAGACAGGGAAACATACGGAGCTGCACGAGGCGGGGCTGCAGAAATGGCTGCCGCTTCCCCTCCCGCAGTTTATTCCTGGCGTGCCTATGGACCGAAGCGATTGGCTGGAGGTGCTGGCTGTGTTTGCGCCACCCGACTGCGCTGCGACACTCCTGCAGAGAGCGCACTCCGTTCAAGACGGCCTTTATGATGAAGAAAATGGCCGTGGGGCGTCACCATTTTTGTCATGGCGACATGCGGGTCCGGTGAATATTACCCCGATTGGCAATGCCACAGGGGCGGGCGATGGGAATATTGGGAACGAGGCCACTGTTGCCATGATAACATGTGATGTGTCTGAGAAGAAGAGCGCGCGGCACGCTCCTTCTCATCTGCGGACGATCCTGCAGGCACCACGCACTCCAACGCAGGTATTTTTATTTCACGGGGAGCTCCACGTCTTACACCATCTTGATGGCGTTGTGAGGTGCATGTCGGAGGCACCAACGACGACGACTGCTTGGTTTAACTGCAGCGGTGAAGGTGTTTTATCAGGTGGTACAAATGTTGATGGGCCGCTATCAACAATTCCTTGTGTAAATGCTGCCTCTGAGAGCTGTCATGATGAAGTCTTCCTGTCCCCAAGCCAATACAAGGAGGCTGCTGAACGCGCGGCTTCCATCGCTGCATGGCGAAGTCAAGGAGGCCACCGGCAGTGCGTTCAGAAGGAAATGCCAAATGACGGCAATGAAATTATAAATACTGATGACAGCGATGATAATCATGATGATGATATGGATGCGATTGTGGAATACGCAGAGGCATTGCTGCTGCCCTCCATCTCCACACGGAAGGTCGAGACACATGGTTCAGGACCCTGCCTAAGTAGTGGATATGAAAATATTAATCACGATGACATGAAGCCGGGGCATTACAGTTACGAGGATGATGGGATGATGAAAGCAGCTCACAAGGTTCCTCACGGTGTGCCGGCGCCAATCGCCACCTCTGCAATGATAACTTGTGGAAGAGCAACTGCTTCTTGTGCATTCTTTACGGCGAAGCTTCCGGGAACTTTGATTTCTGTGGGTGGCGGTGCCTTTTGCCTTCCGAGGACTGTTCTTCAAGACAAGGATGTCTCCTGTGTGTTGGCGTATTGGGGATTTGATCCGGTTGTGTGCGAACACTCAGATTGCACGCGCGAATATAACCGTAACGGTGAGGATACTGATACTGCTATGGCTGCTACCCCAACTTTTGTTTTGAACGATAACGAGGAATTTGTACACAACGCGGTGTCTTGCCGCTTGCCCTTGTCAAAATTTACCGTCCAGCTTAGTTGTAACATTCTTTTTTGCCGTGAAATCCCCACCACTTCTTCTACCGCGTGGTGCACGGATGATGAAAAAAACTATAACTGGTGGCCTGATGATGTTTTTTACGGCGGTACTGATGATGTTACAACTAGTGATGACGATGATTATAATGACTGCGGTGTGGCACCGCAACAGTTTTTCTTGCCAAGACGAGAAAAATCAGAGCTCCCTGCAGCGCCCATACTACGGCCACTTGTGTGAGAGAAGTGGGTGGTGGTGTGGGAAACAAACAAACAAACAGAGAGAGAGAGAGAGAGAGAGAGAGAGAGAGAATGTGTTTGTGTGTATGTTTGTGTTGTCGGTTTATATATACCATATATACATATATATTTCTGTGTGACGTGGCAGAGGTTCATTGGCCTATTTTTTTATTTTTTTATGGTATATATATATATATTTTCTTTTTCTGTTTGCCCCGAAGGGCTTTTACTCTTGCGTGTATTTATGCCTACTTGAGTTTCTTTTTTCTTTTTTCTTTTTTATTTTTTGTTGTTTTTGGTAGTAGTGGTGTTTTTTTTTTTTTTTCTGCAGGAGGGGAGGGGGTTGGGGGAGAATGTTACGTGGCGGACGTGTATTCCGCAGCGTGGGTGGGTGGCGGTCGAAACCGATTGGAGAAATGGACCGTCGTGGCCGCTTTAATTTTGATGAGGCCGCTGCCGCCCTCAATCTTGACGCCGCCTACGTCGCGGCGTTATACAAACCCCTACACTACACCTTTGCTGTACGCGGGCAACATTACCCGGCGGAGCAGGGCCGAGTGAGTCGCCCGGGATCTCTTAGCTCTTCACGCAATCGCATGTTTCCACTTTACCGTCGTAACAACCGTCTGGACGCACAGCTGTTGCGTTTAAGTCGACGTCGCATCTCTACAGAGTGAAGATAGCAGGTGGGATAATATAAAAAAAAATATATATATATATATACATATGTGTAAGCAGTATGATTCTCTCTCTTTTTTTTTTTTTTTTAAATTATGCATAATCGTATATGTATGTATGTATCCATATCTATCTATCTATCTATTTGTTGTGCCCCCTCCCTTTTTTTTTTTTTAACTTGACTCTGCATTTAATAATGTGTCTTTTTCTTGTTTATTTATTTATTTATTACGTGTGTGTGTGTGTGTGTGTGCACATTTAATTAGCAACCCGTGAGGATTACGTTTAATTCCTCAGGTTTCCTTTTTTTTTTTCTTCACACTCACAGACAGATACAGAAAGAAAGGTGTGAAGAGGAAAGAAAGGGGCTTTTTAGAATAATATATAAATTTAGACGTATCCATACGTATATCCATATATATATATATATCTATATATCTTTGTGTATTCTAGGAGGAGTTTCAGTACGGTGTTAAAGGGGTGAATTCCCCTTTGCCGTTTTTTTTTTTTTTTTTTTTTTCTGTCTGTGTGTTTGTGTGTTGTATCCTTCCGTTGCGCCTTGTAAGTTGTCTGCATTGCATTGGCTTCACAACGCTGAGGGACAACGTGGACGGCTGGTCCTTGCAACAACAACAACAACAACAAAAAAGAAGAAAAAAAGAAAGAGTAAGTGTGGGGAAGAGAGAAGACACATTTTGGCAAAACACACACACACACACACACAGCCAGATAGAGAGGAAGGGAGGGAGAAAGGAAGTGAGAAGTCAACGGAGGCGACGGTGGGCGGATCAGGGAAGGGGGAGAAGGCATTTGTGGAGGGGTGGTGGAAGGAAGGCGATCTTGCAGCAGAGACGTTAAGGCAGGACGCACGCAACAGTCACCGGCGGATTCATTACCACGAAGGGAGGGAAATTCACGACGAGGCAGCAGCAGCAGCAGACGACGACGACGGGGATGGTGGCAGAGCAGACGACGGTTGAGGGTTCTCATAGGGATCAAACGGAGCCCTCCCACCAAAAGGGACAGGACACAAGGCGGCACTGGCCACGAACGCCTCTGTCACTGTCACCCGTGTCACTGTCGTTTCTGCGTTCAGTGGAGGTCGGCAACATCGTTCAGGGGCAAATTCAGCAGAACTGTCATGTGGGTGCCGTGGCGGGTTCCCTGTTGAGGGAGATGCAGGGTATGGAGGAAGATATGACTTTCTTCCATCAGTTGGAGTCCGTGAGGTCACCGCTGTCGTTTCCACTCACGCAAAGCCCGGAACTGCCCACAATCATAGCGCATGAAGAAGCGTCGTCGCAGCGGCAACCGGAAACACAACAGCAACGTGAGAACCCGCAAACGCCTTCTTGCACCGCCTGTGCTGAAATGGGGGGAGCCTTTGAGCACCCAGTGGAGTCTTGTCATGAGGTTGACGGTTTTGCCAGGCGGCCGAGCTTCACGCTGTTGCGACCGCAGTCCGAGGAAAAACAGGTGGTGCAAGAGGCTCAAGAGAAGATGGGGTATGTGGCGTCCTGCGAGTCACCTGGTTCAGCCTTTGAGTGGGGGTTGCCCCACATTGATTTGTACCGAGAGGGACAAAAACAGCAGGGGGATCCTGCGGATGTTATGATTGCGCTGGAACGAACAGACTCGCTGATTTCAACACCGCTGATGAATTCCGTCACATGTTTCCGACCCTTTTCTGTCGCTCCCGTGTCTTCGTGCGAGATGACATGTGAAGAGGAGCGGGTGGTACTGGAACAGGTTCAGAGGACTGAGCAACAACAACAACTACAACAAAAACAACAACAGCAAGAGGAGTCGCAGAGTCCTTTCTCCGGTTTGATGGCGAACGATGCCCAAGAAGTCATCACGTTACGGCCAACAGTTAGTCGATTCATTCTTGAGGGATCACCAACGCCATGTCCCTCTATTTCTCCCTTTGCATCAACGACGGGAACTGCGTCTTTTGTCCCTTTGGGCACACCCGTACTGCACATTGAAAGTGTTCCAAGCATCTTCATATCCCCTCTCTCTCGGCCGCTTTCTGCATGGATGGACAGTCCACACTCTATTTATCCTCCGCGACGAGAGTCTTTTGCGCCCATGGGGGTTTCTACACCATCGCAGTTACCGGTCCAGCAGACGACAACGGAAGCATCGCCGTTTAGTCGGGGAGCCGGGGACGGGGCGTCTGCGGGATACGCATGGAGTCTGTCCGGCATCTTTGATATGAGCTTTAATCGCACCCCGAAGCACTCGCTTAGCTCTAGTCCCTTGCAGCGAGCGCAGGGATGGTTGCCCACGAGAAACGGAAGCAGCAACAGTGATGGCGTCTTGACGAACTCTTGGAGCACAGACTCGGTGAGGCAGAGTGAACAGGATCGGTGCGAGGGAGGGAGGTTGCCGCCCTCACGCTGTGTGGTAAATGCGGGAACACCGACAATACCGGCGGCGGCGGCTGCACCGAGTACGAAAGCAACATCCGGAGAGGCTTCCCAGGATTTACCGCCCACCACCCTCCGAGTGCCGCCAGTTCAAACCATGCGTCGGCCACCAACCGTGCCACAGAGAACAATCCCGCAGGAGTTTCCCATGCATGAGGGGGAGTCCAACTTCTGTGGCGACGAAGAGGCCCACACGCTGCTCAGTGATGAGGAATTCAGCAAAACCAGTGGTGAATTGAGTGGCAACGACGATGAAGGTGGGTTCACACGGACGACGCACCATCCGTTTCGTCAACGTCTTTTTGAACCGTCGCCTTCGCGTTGGCGGAGCTCGCGCCGCCACATTTTGCGTGGTGCATCCAAGCGACAGAAACGGGGAGATGATGGCATGTGGGACCTGTCAGCGAGGCTCAGGGAGTTGGAACGGATTCGTGTTAGTAATCATGAGGCAATGGAGGAGCGCGAGATGCAGAGCATCATGTCAACGGAGATGGATCCCAACCCTGTTGAGACATCTTGGGTGGAGACCGAGGCAAGTGGTATCAGTAGCATAGTTCTTGGCCAACGTCGGCGTCGTGGTAGGGTCCGTGAGGAACTGCGGGAAAAACGAAAGGATGGTTCACCCGCGGTGCTGGACAACAATGACGCCTCTTTCCAAGAAAACACTAGTCATGAACATGCCAGTAGTGATGGCGGGAGGGAGACGAAGGAGAGCGGCGGACAGGAGCAATTGTCTCTGGAGGAAGCCTCGCATGTCATTCAAAAGGGGAAGAAATTGAAGGGAGGGGAACGAAAAGACAGGGATATTCAAAGCAGCAGAAGCAGCGGCAGCAGCAGCAGCATGGGTAACAATGGCTGTGGGAGGGATGACTTCAGTGGGATGCCTATTTCTTCCCCATCTTCTTCAGGGTCCCCAGCGAAGGAAAGGAAGCGACGAAATGGCGGTCCCTTTACGAATGTCATGGACCCGTTCTTTGACGTGTGCAGTGACGAAGGGGGAAAAGTCGTAGAGGAGTCCCTCAGCCATGAGAGGAGGGGTGCGGGTGGTGAAACATCGCGTCTTGAACCGGAAGCCCGAGAGGAGGGAAATGCCATGGTCGCCTTGTTGCCTGGTGTGACAAGCACCGAGGAATACGAGGCGGTGGGAAAAGAAAATGAAAAGAAGGGACATGAAGATGACAGCGTTGACACAACGAAGACGGTCACAGGCCAAACGACTCTAGAGAGCGGCCTCAGCTCTCTTTGCATCGATAGGCACTTGCGTTTGCACAGAAAAACACCCGTTTCCACACCTCGTGTGCTTTTAAAACGCACGCCACGTTTTACGGCGTTGCCACGTCGAGGAAATAATTTGTCCGCGTGGGTGCGTAACATTTCCGTTCAACGCCGTGAGGAAGGCATGATGCAGTTCATTGGAGGAAGCAAAGCGTTCAAAACGAAGGGCTGCCGGGGCTTCCCACCGCCGATGGATGAGAAGAATGAAGGAAGAGACGACAATAACTTTTCCCATCGACGACGGAAGGTAGCGGTGAGGGCTTCCGGCAAAAACGATGAGTCATCGATCCAGCGTGGCTGCAATGACAACAACAACAATAATAATAATAATAATAGCGGCTGTGGTGGCGTCATGGGCTCAGCGGGTGTCCCATTCACCACCACCACCACCACAACCACGAAACTGGCCACCGTAACAAAAGCGACCGCATGGCTAACCCAATTGCCCGTTAGAGCGTCCAACACGTCTTCTGAGCGTAAGGCGTGTGGTGGTGAGACGGCATCCCATGCATACCCACCAGCCCAACGTGTCAAACTCAACAGAACTGCGATAACAGTGGCAGGAGTTTCCGCATCATCTCTCATGTCACCGTTATTGGCAGCAAATACACCGGTGAGAACACCACCCTTCGCGTCCGTTTTGGCTGCCATGCACTGGGAAAAACTCTCTCACTCTGCTTGTTTTGTTCCAGCAGGCGGTCGTACGGAGAGGCATACCATCGAATGCTCAATTCAAACACGAGCCGCAAAGCCACATTTATGCACGGCGGCAGAAGCGGTAACACTGACAACATCTGGGAGTTCTCCAACAAAGTTTGCGTCACGTCCGACAAAGAACGGGAATGGCCACGCAGGCATGAATAGTGGGGGCTTTTCAAAGCCACGCCCAATATCCCAGTATCCCAACGTTAGCCAGCCAACGATTTCCCGACATCCGTCTGATTTGACCTCCGCTACTGTGTCTTTAGAGAAGAGACGTGTTCGTGAATGTTCACGTGGCGTGTTAGGGAGTCCTGATATTGCTGAAGATCATGATTATGCGCCATGCCCTTCGCGTGGCACCAGCAAAATAACTGCTCAGGTGATCTCTTGTGATAGTTCGATAAGCACAAATGAGCTTAACACGTCACCGTTAGGGGGACAACCTCCACATGGAGGCAGTTCTGGAATCACAGATTTTTCACACACAGCACCGACCTCACGTCCTAAGCCATTTCACGTGAAATCCAACTGTAAGCCTTCTAGTAAGCCGTCGACACGTTTTTTGAATCATTCAAATTACTGTTTGCCTGGAACCGGTACATACGATGCACCGCATTCTGTGGATTTATGCACGACCTCTGGTTGGATGGGGGGTCCGCGATTGACTCAGCCACTTGAAAGGGTTTTGCCATCGAGAGCCGCTGCGGTGACCAGCCAAAAACAAACACGCCATACTGCTGCTACCACAACCGCACGCAAAGGGGAATTGGTGAAGTTTTCAAGATCAAAAACACTGCAGGGTTGTTCAGCTGTTGTGACGGCACCGATGATGACAGGATCGCTCCATGCATCGAAGGGTGCGAAGGGAGGTGCAAACGCCGGTAACCAACACCGTCCTCACCCGACGTCTGTTACGCCGAACAAAACACGGATGACATCGCGCTATCCGCATGGTGGTGTCAAAAATAACCCCATTACCATGACGACTGAGCTACGATCCCGCCCGGGCTTTTTCTCTCGCATTGATATCGATCATCGGCCCTCACAGTCACGCTTTCTGCGACTAACTACTGCCCCATCTTGACTGCAGCCCCTTTTATTTTTATTGCTATGGCTGTTATAGTTTTATTATTATTATTATTATTATTATTATCAGCGTTGTTTTTGGAGGATTAGAAATATCTTTTTTTTTTTTTTGTTTTTTAAATTATTCTTCTTCTTTATTGTACGAGTTTTATTTATTAATTCTCTCTGCGGCTTCATGCATATATATATATATATATATATATATATATATACATATATGTATGCATGCAATGCTTGCCTGTGCGTGAAATGAGAGAGAGAGAGAGAGATGTAAAAAAAAAAAAAAAAGGAACAACAACAAAAGAAAAGAGCATTGGACCGTGGATCCAAAGCGGTAATATTTCCTTTTTTTCTTTACTTGCGGGGAACGGCTGCGTTTTTATAGGCGCGGCAAAAAACAAACAAACAAAAAAAAGGAGGGGGAGAGGGGGGAAAGGGCGTGTGGATGAGAGGACTGGGCGGATGGTGGCGATTGGGTTCTTTTTTCTTCTTTTTAATTATTATTTTGCTTTTGTTTGCTTTTTTCTTTTTTTTTTTTTTTTTTTTTTTGCAATCTACATGTCTGTATGTTTGTTTGCTGACGATGACGGGGAAGAATGGCAGAAAAGAAACAGAAATGGAGAGAGGGAGTAAAACGATGGGGAGGGGGAAAAGGAAAAATCAAACTTTTGAAGTTCCTATTTTTTTAAATTTATTTTTGCTTCACCCGATGCTGCCGTTGCCGTCCCTGTTTTGTGTCTTTTTTTTTTTTTTTTGACTTCTTCCCTTTTCCCCCCCCCCACCACTTTTGGGCTTAACAGTAATACTTGGATGTATGCTCCCTCTCTCTCTCTCGCTGTCTCTCTCTGTGTGTGTGTGTGTGTTGGTGGTAGTGGGAAAAACAACAGCAACAAAAAAAGGGGGTAAAATTATACGTTCTTTCTTTTCTTTTTTCTTTTTTTTTTTTTTAATACATTTTGTTTGATTGCTTTTTTTTTTTCCTTTTTTTTTTTTTTTTTTTCGGGATGGATGGATGTTGATTGCATCAAAATGGCCGATTGTGCGCGTAGGCAATACAAAACAACAAAAAAAACAAATAAAAAAAGAGAATTCAGAAAGGGGGTGAATGAATGACAAGTTGATGATGATTGATGTGATGGCGTTTGATTGGCCATGTTTTTGGAGAAAAACGCTTTTTTTTTTTTTTTTTT